ATGACCTAGACATCACCGTGACTTCACTAGAGGACCAGCTGTATCGTGACCTGTCCCTGAGTTCCACCGAGGACCATCCCAAGGGCCAGTGTTCGTGCAGTCCGAAATCTAGTGGGAGGTCTGTGCACTGTAGTCGGGGATTCGATCGCTAGAATAGTCTTGGATGTCCTGTGTGTTCTGAAAGTTTGTAATCATTCTAAGTCTCTGGCCAGAGCTGACTAAGTGATGATTAGAGAATTCGATTCTCTAAGTCATGCACGTGACGATTACAACACTTGGAACGATCGCACCGTCATCGAACATATAAAGAGGTCTCGATGAACCAATGCCTCTAGTTCGATCGGGACATATGAATCGAAGGGACCGTACTGTACGTTAACTATATCTGAAGGTTCTTGCAGGCACTTCATTTGTATCTAGGGAATCATGACGCGTAGTTGCTAGACGCCAATCTTGATTAGTTGGGTGATTAAGGTGAAACGAGCTTCATCTTAATCGTAACTCTAAGGGACGAGTTTTGACCACAAAGCGTTGTGGGCCCACGGCTAGCTTACACCTGAACCATCGAGGGTCACACTGCTCGTGCACATGAGATCTTTGAATAAACGGTCAGAGATAAAATAGTTTATCTTTGCATGATTGGAAGTCAATACGATTGAGTCCAACGTTCGTAATTTGGAATTACGAATGAGAATAAGAAAAGGAAAAGAATAGGCGAGCGTTGTAGTGGACTTTCTAAATCGAGAAGTTTCCAAATTTAGAAAGTGCACTGAACTAGGGTTTCCACTTTTATAAAGTTGGAAAATAAGAGTTGACACTCGTAATGACGAGGATTTTATAATGATTCCGAAAATGTAATCGTTGCAATTTTTCGGTCATTGGATTGAGAGAAAAGAGCAAGTAAAAGTACTAGCGAACTTAAGTTGTTGGGCCCGGTCCAACTTAAGCCCGCTAGGGTTTTATGCAAGACACTATAAATACAAGATTTATAGGTCTTGCACAAGTGAGAAAAAAAACCCTAACCCTAGCCGACACACTCTCTCTCTCTCGGCCACTCTCCCCGCGGCCACCACCGTGCCGCCGTTGCTCCGCCGTCGCCGGAATCGGCCATCAATCTGCCGATCCCTTTCGGTACTCTTTTCTTCTTTCTTTTTCTTCCGTTATTTCTAACTATTACGTGTCTAGTGCCACGTGTTTAGTAGATCGAAGTATACGAGGTGAAATCCGAGAGGAGGAAGATCGAAGATCGAAGAATCGAGGAGCAGCACACGAGCCGAAGCCGCACGCAACCCCACGCGCCGCCCCGAAGACCGCGCGTGAGATTCACGCGCCGCCGTGGCCGTCTCACCGCTGCTGCCGTCGCACCGCTGCTGCCCCGGATTGTACGGATTGGTTTCCGTAGCAATCTCGACTTGCTTAGCGCTCCTACCTCACGCTTCAAGAGGTAAATACACGAATTCATGTTCTTGATTCGTTTACGTTTAAACAATATATATTCATGTTCGTTCTTGTATGATTTTATGTGGTTACGTGAAATCGTTTTAATTGTTACGAGCATGTTATTTGGTTTAAACGCGAGCATGTTAATTGATTTAAATTCGGTTAAATAAATTAGCATGTATGTTGTTATTTAATTTCGCTGGAAGCGCAGAGGTACGCAATTAATTGATTTATATTATCGGGCATGTGCTTATGTGTTTTAAACTCGTTTAATTCGCATAAAATTTTTGTTTTCCGCTGCGTACGCGTGCCCGAAACCCAACAGAATGGGACTTGTGTCTTGGTGGAGAGACCAAGTGGGAAGAAGCCGGTGAGTTGTCGATGGCTCTTCAAGAAGAAGGAGGGAATCCCTAGGGTGGAGAAGCCTAGGTACAAGGCTAGATCGGTTGCTAGGGGATTCTCACAGGTGAAAGGGATAGATTTCGATGAAATCTTTTCATCGGTGGTTAAACATTCCTCAATCAGAATCATGTTGGCACTAGTAGCTCGGTATGACCTTGGGTTGGAACATGTGAATGTTACAACAATTATCTCACATGGTGTGTATGTGAGGAATGCAGAAGGAAGGGTGAGAGCTTACTTGTTGCTGTATGAGGATGACATGCTCATTGCAAGCAAGTCCAAGGAGGAGATATATGATATCAAGGAGAAGCTGAAATCTGAGTTTGACATGAAAGACTTGGGGTCTGCCAAGATGATATTGGGAATGCAGATAGTGAGGAACAGACACTGTGGTCACTTGTTCATGTCCCAACAATCTTATATTGAGAGGCTGTTGTTGAGATACAACATGCATCAGTCCAAGGCAGATTTGGCACATGCTACAAGTGTGATCAGCAGGTTTATGACTGATCCAGGGCAGATACACTGGGAAGCACTCAAGTGGACTTTGAGATACATGAAGGGATCTGCTGATATTGGATTTCTATTCAAGCGGAATGATGGAATAAAAGGTGATGCGGGAAAGTGTTTTGAGGACTCAGATTATGCTGGTAGTGTTGACACAAGGAAATCCTTAACAGGATATGTGTTCACTCTTTTTGGGACTGCAGTGAGGTGGAAGTCAGGCCTCCAATCAGTGGTAGCTTTCTCTAGGACAGAAGCTGAATACATGGCGGTGACTGAGGCAGTCGAAGAAGCTATGTGGATGATTGGGATGGTTCAGGAGTTGAGGATTGAGCAGGAGAATGTGAACGTGTATTGTGACAACCAAAGTACATTTCACTTGTTAAGACATCAAGTGTCTATACACGTTGATGTGAAGGTGGAGAAGGTGCATACAGCTGAGATAGTTGCGGATATACGAACAAAGTCTTTACCGGTTTCAAAGTTCAATCACTGTATGGACTTGGTGAGCTGATGTAGGCAGTGCTAGCTTGGTTATAAGTTAGGTGGGGCAGTGCTAGCTTGGTAAGAAGCTAGGAGGTGCTAGCTTGGTAAGAAGCTAGGTGGAGCTACCTTGGTAAGAAGCTAGGGTGCAGAGAGAGAGAGAGAGAGTGGTAAAAGGAGCCTACGTGGAGTATGAGTCAAGGTGGAGAATTGTTATTCTGTGACACATATCCACGTGTAAAAGTCAAAGTATGAGCTGGAAAGTGTAAGGAGCTGTTACACTAGAAGACAAAACCCGTGAGGACCACTCTGACAGTGGTTGACACCTGTCGAGCTCATAGTGATTTGCTTGGGGACCAAGTTTGCTTTTTGCTAGGGTTTGTTGCATATATAAAGCACTTGGTGGAGAGGCTTGGAGGATAAGGCCAATCAAGGGGATAAGGCTTGAGGGGCTGGAAAGAGAGGAAACTCTCAAGAACAAAAGAAGAAGCTAGAGGGAAAGCAAGAAGGAAATCTTCACGGGGTTTGTGAGATTTGGGGCTGGGAAACAAGAGAGAAACAGTGAGGTATACACAGGGGAGTGTCAATACGGCTTAGGTGAAATAGCTGTTCAGAGCTTGAATGTAATCACTATCTTGTAATATGTAACCTTCTTGATCTAGTGGATTTTGTTCTCTCTGCACAGTGGATGTAGGCCTGTGGTAATACAGGTCGAGCCACTTTAAATATTGTGTTATTTATCTGTTCCATTGCTTTCAGTTTTAGATATGTGGTACTGTAGTTGTGTTATCTGCAACAGTATCTACAGTCGGTTGAGTCAACACAGTGGTATCTGTGTGTTCTTCTTGGTTTGATTTTCATATTTGTGTGACTTGTTATAATCTGTGGGCCTAAATCCACAATAGTATTGTTATCATATTTGTAGGAATGTTACAACTATTATTAGATTTTTATTATCATGTATCTGACTAATAATATATTTTCCCCTTTTATTATATATTCCTCCGTGCAACGCACGAGGCAAAAATACTAGTAAATATAAATGATAAATTAACAAAAAAAAGGAAAAATAAAAAAGAAAAGAAGTTTTTTCTTCCCGTCACTACCAGCCCTACCCAAACTACTCTTCATCCACTCCAGCCCCCAGCCGCCGTCTTTCGCCTCTGCTTCGCAACACCACCGCTTGCCCAACTCCCTCCGAACCGACGGGCCTCGACCTGAAACAGGAACCGCCTCCAGCCGGTTCGCCGAACCCAGAACCGAACCGAACCAGCTGTGGGCACCTAATGTAATGTTAAACGGCTTCGTTTGTGGTTTGGGCGTCTCTCAGTTTTATCTATTCTATAATAATGTCTGGCCTACTTTGCGTTTACCCTCAGCGGTTTGTTTTGCGTTTAAAATTATTTTATTTTGTTCTGAAACAAGTATAGAATTGGAATATACATCTTCTTCATATGGTATGAAGGGTACAATATAAGCTGATTGAAGAAGTTTGTGCCTCGGTAAACAACCGGCTGAGAAACTTTCTAATTTCGTAAAAACGTCTCAGTGTTGTGCCAGCTTGTACTTGTAACTTAATGAACTCGTTGTGCGTTTCGACAAGTTTTGTGGCCGTGATTTGTTTCGAGGACTCTGTGGGACCTACTACCCTAACATTTCGCCTTGCCATTTCAATATCCATTCGTTTTCTTATTAACAAGTTCATGGCTAAATAGCCGAACTTGTTAATGAGAAAGCGAATGGATATTTAGCCTTGTGACATAGAGAGAGAGAGAGAGAGAGAGAGAGAGAGAGAGAGAGGCGCTAAAATATGTTTTCTTCACGACTCGAAAACTAATGACTACTTGTATATACAACGATCGTAGATATAGTCCGGATATACATTTGGAGCCAACGTTTCATTCCAAAATGATGGGCAGTTTCTCCAATTCATATTGTTGAATAATAATTTTTGAAACATTTACAACTGGGCAGAATTCAAATTTAATGCACAGTTAAAATATGTTTTTAGACTAGAAGTGAAATTGGATCCAACAAAGTTGATTTTCCAACCATAAACAAAAAACAGAAAGTATTTGAGCATACTATTATCCAACTTAGTTAACAAACTCCTAAACCAAAAATATCAAACAACTAACAATATAATCATGAACCGTACAATCCTAGCCTAACTACACAACCTCCAAACCAAGCTCTGACTCTCCGGCAGCCGCAACCTCCAGTGGATCTCCGTCAACGGCCGCCATCTCCAGTTGTGGCTCCGCGACAGTGGCACCTAATGTAATACCAAGTACACAATGACCTGTACGACCCCGAGTACAAGGCTAATCGTGTTCGGAACCTACAACGAATAACAATATATTAAAAAATATAATTATCATATTTAATATAACTAATAATATTTACATTACTTACCCAAATCGCGGCATCTCCCCTAAGGAAGCCGTAAACGCCCCATATGATGGCGTTCACAGTGAGGACACACGTGAGTGTGATCAGCATGAAAGCCACACTGCGTGTCCTGATAGCTCGAACCTTAAAAGAAAATTGAAAGTATTAACAAATAAAAATAATCACTAATCAGATTACATAAATTGAAAAAAAAAAAAAAAACTAATTCTTACCACGCTGCCAACTGTGGCCCCGTACACCGATATGGATGCTCCAAAGCAAATCCAACTCACAATCTCCTCCCTCGTATTTCCTTTCCACATAAAGAATGTGAAAAGGATAATTGTGCATAATATGCACAACAAGATGCTCAAAAGACGGATAATCCGAATCTAAAAAATAATATGAAATAAACTATGATCGATTTTCTAATTAGTTATTTATTTTAATTAATTATCTTATAAAACTACGGGAATTTTTTTACCTTGTGGTGAGGAGGTGAATAGACAATGTACATGATAATGTACACTGTCTCGACAACGCAACCGAATGCGTTAACGCCAATCAGTAAATGACCATCTTTCTCTATGGCCCCGTAGTAGAGCCAGATGCCCGAGGACATAAGCGCAACGGTGTAAGGCATCACCGAGTACCCCACCGTCGACTTCTCACCGTATATCTTGATAAACATGAGCCTGCATTAGGATATTTTTAGGGATTTTTTTTAGGGAATTTTTTTAGGGAATTTTTTAGGGATTTAATATGATTTCGGTTCCGATTTTGGAGGAACCGAAATCGAACTGAATATTTCCGGTTCCTTGTGGTTTGGTTCTTTAAAGTTCCGGTTCGATTCCGGTTCAGTTCCCGGTAGAACCGACCGGTTCTGACTATATATATATATATATATATATATATATATATATATATATATGATGACGCTAAAGTTAGATCACCTTAAATAGGTGAAGTAGGATGAGCTGGAAGAGCAGAGTGGATCACTAGCTCACGAGCTTGATGACCTTGAGATACCTGCAATCATAGAACACGTGAACTAGGCCGGGAGTTGATCCGGCGGAAACCCCTCCAACGCTCAAGTCAGACGTGCGGATAGTAGGAATAATTGAAAGAATATGACTCCTAGTATTCTTTCGATAATAGGGCTTACCTTTAACAAATGAATTATATCGTTATTTATACCTTAGATGAGATTGTTGGGCTCAAACCTTATTTGAAGGTGATTGGGCATTGATGATATTGGTCTTCAATATTGGGCTTGTGGCCCAGCATTGGAGAAAAATACCTAAAAGACTTCAAAAAATTAAACTTTTTTTTCAAAAACTTAAAGAATATATTTTTCACTTTTAAAAAAATTGAATGAATTAGTTTTAGTTTAAAAATTAAAAAAAAAGGAAAAGTAAAGAAATTGAGAGGGATTGCACATATTTTTTAAATTTTAAACTTTAAAGTCAAACTTTAAATAAATAAATTATTTTTTTTTATATATAACTTAAAAAATACTTTAAAAAATAGTTAATCAAAAAAGAAAAAATAGTGGAAAGAATACTTCAAAGACTTCAAAAAAATTAAAGTTTTTTTAAAATACTTCAAAAAATAAATTTTTACTTATAAAAAAATTGAAGGAATTAGTTTTAGTTTTAGTTTTAAAATAAAATAAAAAAATAAAAAAAGAAAAGGAAAGAAATTGAAAGAGCTTGCACTTTATTTTTAAATTTTAAAGTTTAAAGTTAAAATATAAATAATTAAATTTAAAAAAAAATCGTTTAGAACCGCGATTCTAACCATAGGTTCTCGGTTCCGAAAATAGGGAATCGCAACCGAACCGATTTTCTCGGATCCGATTCCGATTCCAGTTCTGATTCTGGTCAAACCAATTTCGGTAACGTTCTAAAACATTGACCCCAGTTCCGTTTCAGGTCCGGTTCTAACCAAATTGGTGGTCATGTCTAACTCGAGGACCCGGACCTGGGAACCCGTCGGGTCCACCCAAATTTAATGTGCAAATATCACAATAAAGAACATGGCTTGAGGGGCGTACATGGGTCACCCTAATGGGTTAGTAAAGTACCGACCATTTTAGAGAATCAACTTATTACAATATTCCAAATTATAAACATATAAATATAAATAAAATTGTAAATGATTATAATAATTTAATAACTAATGTTTAATAAATTAATAATTGCCATATTCACTATTATTAATATTAAAAATCTGCACTAATAAAAAATCCTTATATATTTAATTATTAAAAAAATATAAAGAAGTCTAGTTCAACCCGTGTAATTTAAAAGAAAGATTGAATTTTGAAAATATTTTTAAGATTGAAATTTGAATTTTGAATTTTGAAAATTCTCTCAATTATTATTTTCACTTATAAATACCTCCAATCCAATTTTCACCAATTCATTTTTACAACCTTCAATTTATTTAGTTTATTTCTCAAGGTCTTATTCGTTTCAATTTTTCTAAAATTTTTTAGTGTTTAAATTCAACTTTGTTTGTTTGTTTGTTTTTTTTTTTTTTTTTTTAAATTTGAATATAATGTTAAGCAGAAGTTAATTTTTTCAAGTTTCAATTTTTTTTCCTTTCCTGTAATTCTTTGAAAAAGAAAATAATAAATAAATAAATTGAAAAACCGGTTTGGACCCGGACTCGCCTTCCCACGGGTCGGTTTTGGGTCCCCTAAAAGTCGGACCCGGACCCAACCCGACCCAACATGTTGCCATGTCTTGTTTTATGGGATTGATTAGATTAGGTCTATGATTGAATCGATCAAACTGAAGAAAAAAAATTCGTTTATGTTTCGTGCTACGAAGGGATGGCTGCATTTCGTGCTCTGTAGCACGAAATAGGGTATTTTTTGTCTGTTGCATTTCGTGTAGTTTCATGGAAACCAATACAAAATGGTTAAAAAAATCAGCTCTATTTTATCATTTCGTATAGGACAAAACGAAATGCTATGATGTGTTTCGTGTTGCATTACACGAAATGTTGTGTTGCATTTTGTACAACCAATACGAAGCACATAAAAAATATCAAAAATTTGATTAACAAAATGTATGTTTTTTACATGAGAATCGGAATGGGTTTCGGCCATATTGATTATTGGTGTGTTCTGATTGATATTATTGAAACATAATTAATGATTATCAAATTTTATAGAGTATTGTTTGAAATAATGATTGATCTTATCTATTCATTCTAATAACCAACTCTTATTAAGAGAATTGATACCTAACCTCTACTATAAGAGTAGAGGTCTAGGGTTTGAATTCCAGATTTGAATTTAAAGGGGAAAAAAATCATACAAAAAACATAAAATAGAGAAAACCAAACTCACACGGGAGCTAAGTAGACGAATACGGATATAACAACTCCCAAGTAGCCAAAGACCGCTGCTAGATGAGCCACCATCTCAGATGTACGTACGCGAACCTACAATATAATATGGAATTTTCTTAGGGGGATAATTAAACGTCTGTAAAAGATGAAACGAATAAGAGTAGACAATACTTATAATAGAATTCAACTCTTCAAATTTATGATCATGTAAACTTCGAATCTAATATATTCAGCCGAGATTTTTAGTCTCCAAATTTAATCGATCCATGCCTTTAGTACATTTTATAACTTCATGTTCATAATGGAAATAATATGAAATAAAAAATGTCACTATTACAAATTAAATGAAATAGAACAATCGCCCGCATTTGTAAAGTATTATTAGCTAATGCTCGTGCACAATAAATCAAACTCTAAATTCTTGAACACTTAAAACTATTATTATTATCATGTATAAATTAAAATTAAATATTGCATAATATTCTGAATTAAAACCATGCAACGAATATATACAGAACCCCAGGGTCTAAACACAGAGTTTATCTTAATAAACAGCGCGCACACACACACACACACACACACACATAATATTAAAAATGTTGTGAAATAATGTAAAAAAAATAATAAATAATAATTTATTAATAATAATGTCAAATGGTTTTTTTTATGAGTAATTGTCAAATGGTTGGTCTTTATACACGTTGAAACATAAATGTTTTATTCAGAACAAAAAAAAAAAAATCTAAACATCTTCTAACTCTCGCTCTTGGGTGGTTTGTTGCTCTTCACTCACTTTTGGTGTCTGAAAGATCGTATACACGGCTATTTGAACAAATGCCAATGTAAAACCAATTGCATTTGGAAACCGGCATTTCAACCAACTGATAGTTAGATTTAGAAATGTATAACAAATTATTTAAATACTTAATTTTATTTATAAATAATTAATTATATTTACCCATATATTTGCATCTTCTTTGAGGAAGCCATACATTCCCCAACGAACAGCTCAGCGTAGGACGCAAGTCAGTACAATTGGTATGTACTGCACGTTACGTTTCCTAACAGCTCTATACTGTAATAAGGGAAGAAAAAAAAAATAAAAGATAGAACAAATAAATATAATTTAGTTTTTGAAACAATAAAATATAAACTCACCACGGTGCCTATAGTTGCCCCGTAAACTGATATAGAAGCTAGGAGGCACATCCAGCCTAGAATCATAAGTCTGGAGTCACCTTTCGACGTAAAATACGTCAGAAAGCTGATCACACAAAAGAATGACATGGTAAGTCCCAACATTTTGATTGTATCGTACCGCATTATAAACAAAACATTAACTACCATCACTATCTTAATTAAATTCTTATTTATTAATTATTTCGTAAGTTTTGGAGGACGTCCTTTGAAATTTACTTTGTGTTTATGAGCTGAATAGAATATGTACGCGGAGATGTACACCGCCTCCGTTATGCAACCAATACTATTTATAGAAACCAGAACCATCGCGTTGGAGGACGGCCGTCTCAATTCGAGATACTTGATTCTTCAACAGATGAAATTCGGTCGGCTGTCTGAGATTTAAGTGTATTTCTCAGACGGCCGTCTGGGCTATAATTCTTCAGATTTTTGACTTCTTCACTTTTCGCCCATATTTTCTCCAAAATTGCAGTTTTAACCCTTTATTTATCCAACCCATCAATTTGTACCTAAAACACAATAAATCAACATTTTAAGCACCAATTATCAATAAAATACACCAAAATCTCCAATAAAAGGTACGATCAAGTGTAAACATATACACTTAACAGAAACTCGTGAGAAAAATAAGTACGAATTTGCACGTATAATCACATAATATGCACGAGAACTGCACTTGATTTGAACGTGCATTTGGTTGGAATGTCAAGCAAAACAGGTTAATTGGTGAAATTAGGCTAAATTGGAGTGTAAATCATGAAATTGGAGTTGAATTAGGTTCACATGAATTGGAGTAATTTTGGTATATATAAAAGGGTTTTCCTTATTTGTAAATAAGTTTGAATAAGCTGTAAATATGTGCAAGACAAAAAAGTTAGATGTCCATTTTGAATTAAATACCCTTATCATGGGTCTATTTACCATTTACCAAAAAAACGGTATAGCCCCAATTTAATGAAGATGTGGATGTGATGATGTTTTTTTTTTTTTTGGCAAAATAGTAAATCCTAGTACTGCAAGCTATTCCATTAGTCTATGCACGTTGGTTTGGTGAAAATTCAACCACACAACTAACAAATTTTTCATGATGTATGGATTTCTTGCAAAAATAAAAAAATGCTATTTATATTAACCTATCATATAAAGTAGTAAATGCATTATTTCTTATAAGGGTAAGTTAGATAAAATTTATCATATCACATTTCAGAACGAATCAGCAGCCCCCCTCCATTGTTAAAACAATTATCACTCCCCACTTTTTGAGTTTTTTTTTTTAAGCATTCTCTACACCATTCAGATCATCCAGGGATAATACTCATGTCTAGAGTACTCGAAGAAGACAACTATGGCACATGGAGTCGGGCCATGAGAATCAGTTTAAGTGCCAAAAACAAGATTGGATTCATCACATGTTCGATCAAACCCCCTTCTCCTACAGATGACGATTTCCCGTCTTGGCAGCGATGTAATGACATGGTAATCTCTTGGTTATTGAATTTTATTCATCCAAGCATAGTGAGTAGTGTGATTTATGCCGAAACGACTGCCGAAATTTGGGCAGATCTACAAGAATATTTCTCACAGGGAAACGATTCAAGGATCTTTCAAATTCGACAGGACATTATACAACATAGACAAGGCCAACAATTAATCTCTATCTACTACACAAAACTTAAAGCTCTTTGGGATGAACTTTCATCTTATTACGAGTCAGTGTACTGCACATGTGGTGGAATGGAAAAACTCAAGCAAAGAGAAGAAAAAGAAAAAGTCATGCAATTTCTCAGGGCATTGAACGACAATTATGCTGCTGTTCGAGGGCAGATCTTATTGATGCAACCCTTACCTGATACACGGAGGGTTTATTCTCTTGTTATTCAGCAAGAAAAGCAGGCCGAAGTTTCTCTTAATCGCGGGAATCTGAACCACCATGCAATGCTTACAAATCGAGATAATAAGGTGACTCAAAGGCAAAGGACGCCCCTGCATTGCTCTTACTGTGATCGAGATAATCATAGCATAGAGAAGTGTTTTTACCTACATGGTTTTCCAGTGGGCCACAAATTCCATGGAAAGAACATAAAGCTTCCCAATCAGCGGCGTCCAACCGCAAATAATGTGAACCTAGAGACAGACAAAATTTTCGAAACGAGTGGAAAGTCTCTCACGGGGGATGACGTGCCAAAATTTACTTCGGATGAATCCAACCAATTGATGGCGATGCTACGAAAATCCAATACTGATGGTAACAAACAACACTTCGTCAATGCCGCAGGTAACACCATGCATTCATCTGGAACTTTTGCAGGTATAACACAATCACATTTGTGTTGGATCATTGATAGCGGGGCTACAGATCATGTAACTCCTTGCTAGTTTTCAAAGATTTTGCCTACAACAACCACCATTGGACTTCCAAATGGTGGCCAGACACGTGTTGAGTCGATTGCATCTTTACAAATTACACCCAACATTAAACTTGATGAAGTCCTTAAAGTCCCTCAATTTAGAGTTAATTTACTATCAATTAGTAAGTTAACAAAAGGACTGAATTGTACAGTAATATTCTCTTCCGAATTTTGTGTTGTGCAGGACGCTGCTACGAAGAGGATGATTGGCCTGGGCAAGCAACATGATGGTCTTTACTACTTGACACAAACCCAAAACCCAGCCCTCGCTTTCACCATCCGCAAACAGTCAAATCTTTGGCACCAACATCTTGGGAACCCTTCTTCCCGTCCGCTTCAAGTCCTTAATAAAAGTAATCCTGCTATTTATTTTGATTCGAGTTATGTTTGTGAAATTTGTCCTCTAGCTAAACAAACTCGATTACCTTTTTCGTCTAGTACTATTTCTTCCCATGCACCTTTTGAAATAATACATTGTGATATTTGGGGACCACATCGTTTAAAATCCACTTTTGGAGCTGGTCATTTTTTTACAATTGTTGATGATTTTACTCGATATACTTGGATACACTGTTGGGATGTTAAGCCCAGGATTCAATGAAAATTCGCAAAAGGTTCTAGCTTAGCCGGTTTTAATTTTATTAACATCCTTTGATTAGATTCGTTTAAAGCAGAATAAATCTAATCTAGCAACTTACAGTTTTCGCGAGCAGATTCGTAGAATATATCTTCGGCGCACGAACAAGGATCCACGTCAAGCCTTCAACCTTCGTAAAAGCTGTTGTCTAGAAATTTTCAGTCCTCTTCCTTCACCGATATCTCCGCGACCGTTGATCCGATCGAGAAACCCTTCAGAATGATTGTAGATCTAAGGGTTATGAAGCTACTGTATAAATTTCGAGCCTATCCAACTAACGGTTGATTTATGGTGAATTTCTTCGCAGGACTGCTCAGAAAATTCGGGATTTATAGTTTGCTCTAAAAACCTATTATCTTCTATTGTATATCCCGGATTAATAATTCTTCTACAAGGGTGGACTTGTACTTGTTACGGAAGACATGCGGACATCTCGTTGAATGACCGGGTTGAGGCCTCTAAGGAAATGGTTGGCCTTTTCGTCGGCGTCTCGGGATATGAATGGGGCGTAGAGACATCCTTGTTCGAATCGTCGTACGTACTCGGCTACAGACAAGTTGCCTTGCTTTAGCTCGAGAAATTCCTTTAGCTTCTGAGCTCGGAGGTTTTTGGAAAAGTACTTTTCGAAGAACAAGATTTTGAAAGCGCTCCAAGTAGTGTTCGTTAGGTCGATTCCTTCTTTAGTACCTTCCCACCAATGACGGGCTTCGTTCTTCAATAGGAAAAGAGAACAATGGATTCGATCTCGGTCGGACATTTCCATGTAGTCGAAAATGACTTCTAGGGATTTGATCCATTCTTCGGCTATGGTTGGATCGGGGCCTCCATGGAATTCGGCGGGGTGCATTCTTAGAAACCTTTCGTAAATGGCTTGGGGTGCGGTATTTTGAGTTGGTGGGGGTGGAGGGTTCTGGTTTTGGAGGTTAACAAGGCGTTGGATTTGTTCATTTTGTCCTCGAACGAGGGCGGTGAGGTCTTGTATGGTGCGAGATTGATCGTTCGGACCGTTAGCGGCGTTTTGAGCTCGAGTTTGTGCTCCCGACATTTTAGCACTTTAAACAAATAAACACTTCTCATTAGTTAAGAAATGTGCACATATAAACACATACCTGCCCGAGTTCTTAGTTGATGTCGTCATTCGAGGATTTCGGAGATCTTTAAGTTCATATGGAGATTTTCCGGGGATCGTTGCTCTGATACCACGTATGTGTGTCACTGACACCCCTTTTATAATTACACCTACTTAGTAATTTAGAATATGATAGCGGAAGACTTATAGATAATAATGAGTGTGGAGTGCTCGTTTTAAAAAAATCATCTTCTACAAATACAAGATTCCGACAAAATTTTTCTTTTAAAATCAGAGTAAGAGTGTCCACATATTACCAAACAACATTCACTTAATCAATTTCACAAACTATGCATGCATGACTAGAGATTAAGTCCCGTTTTAGCAAAGTGAGAAAATATTGGACAGTTTCGATCTATCAATTAAACAAATTAATAACTCTCTAACCGCTCATGAAAAACACTTGAAATTTTTAGCACATGCTCTAATATGGACCTTAATAACGTAGTAAAAACAGTTTTTAAATACCTTGAGTCATTTGAAAGGAATAATTAAAATGGTACAACTGTACAGTTTAAAAATCTAAAGCAGGGGAGTGATCTTTGAAAAATCTTTATAAATTCCCTACTGTTTCAAAAATCAAAAAATTCTATAATAAAGTACATTAGTAAGTTAGGAGTTTATCCCAAGTGGAATAAATCTTTTTGAGTGACAAAAACTTCGTATTTTGTTGTAAATACTACAATGACTCTGTTTCAGAGCAGTGTTGGGAAACAATTCATAATTAATTCGTGGCTTATCCAATTAATACAAAAGACCTATCAACATGAACCTAACAGATAGACCTATGATGCTGTAAAATTTCATGCAATAATGTATACAAGAGATAATTAACACGAATTATTAAACTACTAGGCAGAACACAACACATAACTAGCCGATGGGCATTTTATAAGGTTTTTAGGAAAACTTGCCCTAAAGTTACATAAGTTTTTGAGGAATTATCATAATATATATCAAAATAGGTAATTGTAATCCTATGTCACATTACACATTATGCATCAATAGTATGTTCCTCCAATAGGCGGAAGGGAACGATAATAAACACCTATAACGGTGTCGAATATCCTTAATAGCAAATTGTACAAATAGAACCACATTAGTATATTAAGAGCACCCACAATCCACCATGCCTCCATATGAACTCTTCTCCCGATCCACGAACTCAACTTCAACCACGAACCTCGGGCTCGAAATCGGGTAATCCTACAAACAATTCAACACCTATATGAGTCTTTGAGACTCAATGAGAATTCCATATAATATCAAATACACTTAGACAAGGAATCATATAATCATACATATACAAGTATACATATACCTTAATCACCATTTCTTTAAGAAAATTTACCGATTTACCTTTACCTTCTCGGTTTACCTCTTAGACTTTCGATTTACCTCTTAGACCTTCCTTTCATCATTTCATAAGGAATAAGAGGAAATCCCTCACAAGGGAGTCGTCATTCTTTTGCACATACATTCATTCAAGTGCTCATACAACGTGTAAGAAATATCATTTTCTTTAGTCGGATATCCTTTGGAAAAATCAAGTAAAACCATAGACAATAAGCCTTCATTTATTTGGAACCCGTTTCATAAGTGGAATCAAACCACACACTCTTCATCTCATTTTTGGGTACCGGTCCCTCATACCCCGTGCTTATTCGATCTATGTTTTACAAGACTTTCCAATTTTAAAAACGTGCAAGTGAGGTTAGCACATAATTTCATTCAATTCAAGCAACTTGATTAGTTGTGTGAGAAAAACATTTTCGTTCGGATATCCTTTGAAAAAATCAAGTAAAACCATAGACAATAAGCCTTCATTTATTTGGAACCCGTTTCATAAGTGGAATCAAACCACACACTCTTCATTCATTATTGGGGTACCGGTCCCTCATACCCCGTGCTTATTCGATCTATGTTTTACAAGATTTTCCAACTTTAAAAACGTGCAAGTGAAGTTAGTATATACTCTTCATTTCACATATTCAAAGTTAGCTTTCACATAAGCACACATATTTCCACATATTTCACAAAGGCACATAATTTAGTCACAAAATCACAAAAGCAAGTAAGACACATAACAACTCAAGCAAAGAACATAGATCACATATTTCCACATATAGCAAAACAACTCAAAGCATTCGGTTATTTATAAGTACTATCTTCAAGTTTCATTAATTAAAGTTCAAGCCCTCTATCTCAACAGACTTGAAGTTTTCTTTCAAGTATAGCACCAAAATTCCATTTATTCCATTTTATTTCCAAAATATTCGAACCATCAACAATTCAATCGCACAAAATTCCATTTTTATTAATCTTGTCCTCGGTTTTTACTTCGTATATTATTATTACTCATAGATCATAAACCATGGATTGCAAGCTTCCTCGACCCGAAGGGAGTACACTTACAACCGCGTAGGTCGATATATATATACACATAGAAACATATACTTATATATATAGCACATATCGATTATAAATAAACCATGGATCAAGTACTTTCTTCGACCATGCAGGTTTACGAAAACCATGGATCGAAGTTTCCTTAAGATCACGCAGGTCTAGTATATATATATATATATATATATATATATATATATACATACATAAAAATAAAATTAAATTATCATATTATTCTTAGTTCTTCAAGATTATATCATTTAAAGCTTAGATTCTTACATGCATGGATGATCTAACAATAAACAAGTAAAGTACTATAACTTCCCAAATTTTCGGCCATTAAGAACAAAGAAGGTGAAAGAAGAAATAATATTGGTGAAGAATCACTTGTAGCAAGAATATGAAATTCTCACCTAGTTTCTCTTGAGAATATGAAGGAATTGGTGGATTGAATAACCCAACTTCTAGTTGAAGAAACTTCTTTTTGGAAATGAGGAGAGATTTTGAGCTTCCTACACTAATAATTTCGAAATGGAGGAGAAGAAGAGAGAGAATGATGTTTTCTTAAGAGCTTTAAGATATGGTGGAGAAGATGAAAATTCACTTGGGTGTTGGGTTCTATTTATAGAGTTTTGCAAGCATTTGGGGGTGTTCTTGGAATTTCCTCTTTAGGTGGGTTGGATTGGAGGTGGTTCTATGGCTTGAGCTTAAGTAAAAATGGAGTCTTGGTGAGGGGATGGTGATGATGGCCGAATTTAGGGAGAGAGGAAGAAGAAAGAGAATGGGTTTCAAATGCTTAGGTGGAAAGAGAGAGAAAGTGGGTCTTGAATTAAAAGGTAAAGTGAAGTACCATTCTCAATGAAGAAGGTACAAGCCACTTAAGCTTTCAATTCTCCCAATTAATGAGTCTTTCTACATTAAAGAATTGTACACATGGAAAATAAAATCCATGTGTGTCTCCACATGGCCGAAAACTACAAGAAGAGTGGGGAAAAAATTTATTTCTAAGTTTATTCACTCATTTAATTATCTAATATGCATGAATTTATTCTTTTT